AGCTATTTCATGTGTATATACAAACATATATAGAGACACATATATATATACATATGTATATACATATATATTTTATAATAAATTGTCGTTCCCTCTTGGGGGCTAGGTCAACTGTAAAATTCTGCTGCTCAGTTGGCAAAATGAAATGTTTTTCACTCCCCTGTCGCCCGAAGGAATTGTTTCTGGTCTGATAAGCAAATTGCTAATGCTTTTCATATTTAATTAGTGGTTAAAACAGAAATCCATTAAAATTTAAGTCCCCCAACAATTAAGTAATGTGGCTTGTGCAATTTCTTTATTAGATACATATTTGGTGAGAATTTGCTCTCATTGTACTCTGTTCCTCCCAAAGGGAAAATGATTATTGTGTCACACACACATTATTGATAGAGGTCTAAGATTAATGAATTTATATTATTTATCTATGAATTAATGAATAATGTATGATTTGTTTTTATTTATTCATTATTAATCCAGTTACAGCCGCAAAAATTGTCTTATCTGATCTTAATGAAACTTTCACGATTGATCAATGATATGTCTGGTCATATTTGGCTTAATTGGAAGACTATATCTTTATAATTGTATGTTTTATTGATATCGAAAATCAATTTGTATCAATATTTTCAAAACCAGGGCAGCTATCGATAAAATGAAATACGGCTGATCTGCATATGGTATACGATAGCTTATGCATGGACGAACGGACATGGCTTAATGGGAATAGATATACTTTATGGACTGAGAGATGCTTGCCTCTGCCTGTTACACACTTCTGCACAGCTTAATTATACCCGTATTACAATGTTTACTAAGCTTACCATTTATTAAAGTGCATAACATTTGCTGGCAACATTGTGAGCGTTTACTGATGTTTTCTAACCAATTCTAATCATTACCATTCACACTGACTCACTTTTTGTCAAGTCATGATTCCCAACAGATAGTTACATAATGAACAATCAAAAAAGGTAAAAATTACCAACAATGTTGTGCACTTATCGTTTAAGTAAGTTCCATAAAACCCACTCGTCTCCACTCTTTGTCCAGCTGCGACAATTCGTAATGAAATTACCACCCAGATACATACATATACAGATCTACATGTGTGTGTACATATACAGATCTACATGTGTGTGTGTGTGTGTGTGTGTTTCTATAAGAGACCAGTTAGCAGCTGCCACCAATGGCCAAGTGACACTTGTGCAAGTACGAGCACAGAAATCTTCATTGTGAGGAAACCCTCGGCAGGTTGTTTGTCGGCTATTCCTGGTCTCGGCCATGAGACACAAGCGGTAGCGTGAAACGAATTGTTTTTTTTTGTTTTTTTTTGGGTTGTTGTTGCTCTTTTTTTTTGTATTTTTGCCGACATGGTCGCCATCCCAACAGGTACCAAAACAATGCTGACTATTTAGTGAAATGCTTTTGTTTCGACTGCGGCGCAACTCGTTGTCATTGTTCCTATTGCTATTGCTGTTGCTGTAGTTGTTGTTGTTGTTGTCGTAGTCGCAGCCGATTCGAGTCGAGTATAGTCGCTTATTAACTTACCTGTTATTCGAGGCATTTTCATTTTTCACACGCACTGCCACAGACTGCTGCAAAATGAAAATGCACTTGCCTGCTTGCGTTTAGTTTTCAAGTCTCGAAACTCGAATCTTGAATCTTGAATCTCGAATCTCGAATCTCACCCTCACTCACAGCAGTTGTTGTTTTCTGAATGGACTGGTAACATGAACGGAAATAATGCCGCAGGGGGTGATTTCTTTTTCTAATCAACTGGGCCTACTGCGTGTGTGTGAGTGGGATGCAAAGTGTCTGTCTGTCCGTCTGTCTGTCCGTCTGTCATATGGCGGCTGTCATTAGGATTAGTGTTTTGTTTGATTTAATACGTTGTTCACCTTTTCTGGGTTTCCTTTCGTGTCTTGCTTGGGGCGTTACCGGCGTCTGCTACAGCTTCTTTTTTATTAGTTCACATTTCGATTTCGATTTTATTTTTTACTACTGGTCTATAATTAAAATGCTGCCTCTTATCTGGCTGCTTATCATTAAAGCACGATTAGCTGTAGCCCTGGGAAAATTGTGGTTTGATTTTGAAATGAAGTTGCTTCGGTTGAGTATTAAATACTTATATATACATCTGTATTTAGATATGTGTAGATTTATAAATAATAGTTACGAGCTTTTTGATGGAAAATTTAGGCTTTAAACTGAAACTATTGAAATGTAAGCCGACAAATCAAAAATTGTCTACAGCTATGGCTTTAAAAGAGGAACAAAATGAAATTAAGCAACTTCAGTTGAGTGGTAAATATATATATGTATATAATTCGATATAAGCATATTTGTATATTCATTTGTCATTCGATTTTTGTATAAATATTAGTTATGGGTTAAGGTTGCTGACACTATTAAAATGTTAGATTCTCGGTATGTAAAATAAGCAAGTAAATCAAATTGTTGTATCTACAACTGTGTGCAAGTGTCAAAACTTGTACAAAAATAACCTTAGCTTTTAGCACACTTTCCGTTTGCCACAAAATACAATTACAACTCTTTATTATTGATTGGTAAACATTAAAGCATTTGATTTATTCCCAAAAATGTATGTCCATTAAACGTTGTTGCACTTTCAATTTCAGTACATTATTTTGCAGCTGGCAATGCGGCGCTGTAAATGGTTGTTGTTTTTTTTATGTGAAACCAAACGAAAATGAAATGTTGTTGTGTATGTGTAGATACATAGATGCATAAGTACATACAGACACACATACACACATATGTAATTCTGATTACCTCAGGTTGCCTAGTTGGCCAAAAGGGGGCAACTGCAGGCATTGCAAACACTTTCGGCCAAATCAAAATGGCCATAAAAAATGAAAATTGCAACTTTGGAAATTATGCGGCAAACAAGTTTTGAACGCGCCACTTGGGACCTGCTGCCGCACGGGGAAGGAGAGGGGTGAAGCTGTGGGGGGCGAGGGGTATGTCGGTGGCCAGCGCCAAATTTCACGTTGCAATTGCAGCATTACATCGACAGTTGCCAACGGGCCACCCTATTCCAGCTGCCACTAGTTGTTGCCACTACACTGCACTACATGGAAGAGTATGATTATTATTATTTTTATCATTAAGCAGCGGTTTCCGCCTCAGCAGCAGCAGCAGCGGCAGCGGAACAAACTTCACATAAATTGACGCACGAGGCGCGCCAAAATATAAAGATGGGAAAAGCAAAACAACAACAACAACCAAAGAAAATAACATAAACAAAACACAGGCAACGGGAGCAAGAAACCAAAAAAGAAAAAAACGCAACTGCTGAGAGCCAGATGCGAAGACGCTGAGAGAGAGGCAAGAAGAGAAAACCCAAGAAGAAAAACCAAAATGATTTTCATGTGTGGCGGAAAAATGTTTTGCTTTGGGAAATAGTTTTGGATAATTGTGTAATGTGGTAGGGTCCCTCGTACCTACTCGACCCATTCACCACACACACACACACATGTATATATATATATATAGGCAGGCACACCCACCACAAGAAATGTCTTGAGGCAGCGTTGCCAATTGTTACAGCACCGTTGCCAACTGTCAGCTGTCAACTACAAACTGAGCGATTTATTGTTGTTCTTGTAGGTGGCCAGGGGAGCACAAGTAGCAAATAGAAAAAAGCTGAAAAACTAATTGAAAGTACTTAAATTGAATATACCAAAAGTAGCGAAATTTACACACGGATTGCGTTGTTGGAAATAAAGGTACATACATAATAAATAGAAAGATCCAAGTGGAAGCCAAGCGCCTTTCTCTATTGATCTCCATTGAGACCCTTATAAATATAAAACCAAATGAAGCATGAAGCCTATGGTGGCTTGTAATATTAGCCAAGTTGAATGTTTTTTCTTTTTTTCTTTATTGTTTTGCTCAGATGAAAATTAGTCGCCCTGTCGCACAACTAGGCGGCAACCCTGCCGCAGCTGCATTCCACAATTGCAATCAAATCAACTTTCCAATGATGGATTTTGTCTTCATCTTTCCATTATAATTTAGCAATTTTTTTTCCTATTTTGTTGCTGTTATTTTTATTTGTTTTTACCATTACCTTATTAGCTAAAAACCTGTTGAGTGCGAAGCAGACGTCGATGATCGCTGATAATGATGATGATGACGATGACGATGATGATATGAAAAAATAAATGCTCAGGCGCCTAAATGTTAATACCATTCGCCGAAGGGGGGCGTGAAGGGTGGAGGGTAGTGGCAAAACTGGGGTGCACATTTTGACATGCAAAGTGAAAATGGTTGATAAAAGAAAACAAGAGTGCTCATCGCCAGTTGGTTTGCCCGACTAGGAAATACCCTGAAATATTAATCAAACATATGATCTATCCTTCTATCTGTTTCCAGCGTATGAAAAGGAAAAACAAAGATATTTGTCTACACTTGTCACATTGAAAACTTGACAGCAACAAAATATGTTTTGGCATATTATTTCCTATTATTCCATTCAACTCGAGAGTGAAGATGCTGTAAAAGTGCCAGAGGCTAGAAGGGGGGACTTATTCGAAACGACTGCACATCCTGGCGAACAGGATGATGATCTTATGATAGCGGTTCTATCGCTGGGACTGCTTGTGCTGCTCATCTGTTGCTGCTACAGTTGCACCAACAAATAGATCAACCGAATTCGAACGCGATGCACACAAAACCAGACCAGACACCCTTTTGAAATAGCTAAACGACTACAGGCATAACCCGATGATAGCAATTTTCAATATTTTGGTCATCAGTTCAGCTATTATCGCATTTATTATCTTTTGCGCAAAATGATTAAATATAGTACAAATAAATGGAGGAACATAAACAGAGAAAATTCAAAAGTTTTTAAGAAAAATACAAATTGTAATTTCTTAAAAGTTGTCACTTATCAAGACCAATCGAGACGCATACGCACTAAAAACGGAGAAACTTTTTTCAGGATTTCCACATCGTTTTAGCGAAAAACTCACCATGCAAAAATCAAAGCTTTCGGCCAGCAACTGTTGTTGTTGTTGTTGTTGTTGTTTTTGTTTTTGTTGCTGTTTCGGTTACATTTGCAGCTTTGCTGTTCAATTCGATTGCGCTTTTGTTATATTAAAAAAATTAAACATAACAAGTCGCGTTTTAAAAAGGAGTAGTTTTTTGTTGGGTTTTTTGGTCTGTATTTGTGGTTCACGCTCTATGTACAAAGTAATATGTATTAGAAAATTCAAATACACAAGAGACACACACACACATACAGAAACACAGAGAGCAGCAACGAACTCAGTGGAACACAAACAAACACGTTTTAGGCATGTTTGTGTGTGTGTGCATTTGAGGTGCCTGTGTGTTTGTGTGTGTGCGTGTGTGTGCGGTTAGAACTGTTGTTGTTGACCGTTTATGGCTGCTGCTAGTTGTTGCTGTTATTGTTGTTGTTGTTTTTTTCTAAACTGGTATTCGATGCGAGCGAGCAATGTGTGTAACTTAAGAAGCGCACAATAAATAAATAAAAACATTTCGTTATGTGTTTGTGTGTGTGTGTGTGTGTGTATGTGTATATGCAACAATTGCTGTGAATTTTGTAGTATTATTATTCACTTGAAATGGCCACAGATTTGATTGCAGACGTGTAAAATTGCACCGACTTCTTAAAGCGGAATGAAAATAAAACGGAACTCTTGGCTACACACACACGCACACACACAGCACGCACACGCACGCACTCATCCATACAAGCCAAAACTCACATGCACACTCACACACACTCACACGCACACAATCACGCAAATGAGATGAACGCGGCGCGCTAAATAACAATTATTCCACAGCACAGGTGTGTGTTTAACATTAATTTATAATAATATGTGTGTGTGTACATTGTAATAAGAAGCACGGCAAAAACAATAAGCAACAAATGACCGGGCCAAAGTGGAAGAAGACGGAGCGAAGAGATACTTTATATTTGCAATTATGCTTTTGTTTCTTACAATTATTGATATAGACACTTTTTCAAATTGTTGTATATCAACAATATCCAAAATTGGATCACTTATAAAACTTCGCAAGCCGCACCACCGACGGACCGACCGCACGATTCGGCAACAAATTTTACAATAACAAAGCCGACAACACTCTGCTGTTAACCAGATCTTTACAACATTAACATTTCACAGACATTTAACATTGCCAGACTTAACATTGCTGGACTGTTATTATTAGCAGAAATATTCATAGAAAATTGCTGTTATTTGTGTTTTAAGGAAATTAAACTAGTTTTTAATACAACGGCTTATTGTAATATTGCAATCAATCTAATATTATAATTTGTTCCAATTAGGGTAAATTTTGGCTGAAAGGCAAAATATGGAAATCGCGAGGAAAACGCGTGTGCTGCAGAAAAACGCGCGGTAAGCAGCTGATTTAACATTTTCTGTCAACCTTGTTAACATAACACTCTGTTGCGCATATACGTCACAACAGAGAAAAACTTCCGTTATTTTGAAATTTATAAGGTAAATATACAGATATGAGATTTTATTTTAAAATGTCTTTTTTATAAAACACAAATATTTGTAATTACTATTTCAATGATTATTGTCAAAATTCGCTAGGTGACATGTGCAATGCGTTACCTTCTATATTTCGTTCATGAATTCATTACATTGGTGTTTATTTACTGTAAAGCTCAGGGGAGCTGCTAACTACTCGTCGTAAACTTTTAACTAACAGAGAGAGAGAGTCAATCTCTCAGACTGGTATTTAACATATGCAAGTTTGCTCAAATTTAAGCGGTAAAATTAAAAACAATAATTTCTGTTTTATCTATTTATTAATTACTAAACGAAGAGCATTAATTATAAGTTTCGGGGTCTAGCTGAACTAACATATAAATATCAATAAATTCAATGGAAAGCTAAACAATATACGAACTAACTAAAACTAGCCGAGATTCTCTACAAAATATCAACAAAATTATTTGGAAAGTATTTCAATGCAAATTCCGAACATTGTGGCCTATTCCTTGAGGGCTCGCAAGTCCGGATAAAGTGCGCCTGCATTTATATAATGAGATTCAGGTTTGCGCAAATCACGCTTAGAGCCAACGACGACAGCTTGGCCCGTTTTCTTAACCAGCTTCTTGGCCAGTCCCTTTGGTGTAATATAGTTGACATTATTGCTAATGATAAACGCATTGCCAACAGTATCAAAAGTGCCGCTGGCCAAATTGCCAGCTGGAGAACCGTATCTGGGAATGCACAGAGAGGATAATTTATTATTATTTTATATTATTAACCAGGAGAAAAACGAAGAAAACAAACGCACTTATGTTCAATGATTTTAACCGAATTCTCACTCAAACTGTTGCCCAATATTTTGGCGGATGTTTCCAGGCCATCGAAGACGGTGCTGAAACCCTCAACGGCACCGGCGGCAATTGTCATGGCGCCCTCCATGGCGCTATTTGCCTGGCTGCTGTCGTAGCCAAAGCCCTTTTGCAGCAGCCGCGAGCCTTGGGTCTGGACATGCGGTGCCAAGTAGCCACCCACAGCCATCGCAGCGGTGCCCACCTTGCCAGCTATCCATCCGGTCACTCCGGCCGCGGCATGCGTGACCTTTTGGGCAACCTCAACGCCCGTTTGCACCGAACTGGGCACCTGGGTCTGGCCATCGGGGGCAGCTGGTGTCATTTTTGAGATTAGATAGGGCGTTGATTTCATCATTAGGCCACCGGTCTTCTCGGCACCTTTGACCAGATTGCGCGCTATGAAATCCGCTGCGCACACAATGTGCTTGGAGACCTGCTCGGAACTGGTGGTCGCATCCGAGAGGCCGTCAGCGCGTCGTGTGCGCGGCGATTGCAGCTGCTCCACAGTGTCCGCCAGCACGGCCTCGAGCAGATCGAGAAAGAATTGTTGCAAATCAGCCATTTGCTCCTCCTCCGTTTCCCCGGCGCTCGTGCTCAGCGGACGCTCTGGCTGCATCAGCATTATGCCAAAGGCATTCCCCGGCTGCACTGATTCCATGTCCGGCAATATGAAGGCGCCGTATTCGGTGCGATAGCAATGGGATACACTGGGTACCAGCGGATATAGCCAGACGGTTGACTGATCCTGATCCTGATCCTGATCCCGATCCCGATCCGGATCCGGTTGGTGTTGCTGCATATCGCATTGGATAAAGTAAATGCCGCTCAAATATTTCCATTTGCCGCCAACGGTGCACATTATTAGCGACATTTTGGTGCTGCCCGTCAGGGTGATCACCTGGCCACTGGCTTCGATGCGATAGAGCTTCACCTGCGCCTGGAACAGTTCATCCAGCTGCGCCTCGGCATCGTGGCTGGCTAGCAGTTGACGCAGTCCCACAGCCAACTCCCTGTAAGTTTTGGGCTGGCCACTGGCATTGGCCACATCGTAGAATGTCGCTGGATTCTCCGCCAGCAGTGGTCGCTTGCTGGCCATCGGTCCATCCGCTTGCTCGTGCTCGTGTGCCTCCATGGCGCCCTCATCGATGGGCGACTGCTTGGCGCCGAGCACCTTCAGGCGATAGCTGACCTCCGTCTTGGCGCTCTTTAGTTTCTGTATGATGGCACAGGCATCGTTCCACTGCTCCTGCACCGCATCGATCTCATCGGGCAGGCCCACGGGTATGGCGAATGTCTCCTCGATCATCTGTAGTGCCAGCTCGTAGGCGCCAATGGCAGCTGTCAGGGATTCCGACTCCTCGTGACTGATGGCCAGCTCCACTTGTGCCATGGCTGCCTTGTGGGAGAGCTTAATCTTCTCATGGGCCTCGAGGAACTCCGATTCCGTCGACATGACGGCGCTGAGCAACTGCAGTGGATGAAACTCGATTAATTATTAAACTATTCAACTATATTCAACTATTATTTATTTCATATAAAGCAACAACAAAAATTCTTTGAGATCGTTAAACTGATTTTATTAATGTAAACTTATTTTTATAGAAAAAAAGAAAAGAGAGAAAAAATATTGTTTTTTTTAGACAAACTTGTTGATAGAGCTCGCTGGCCATTTTGTCGCTGCTGAAAGACCAATGAAAACTGAAATGGCTGAAAATCTCGCAAGGGATGCTTTGCCAACTTTTCATCAGACACGCCACAAATTGCATTACACATTCTATTAAAGCGATGATGGCAGCCCTCCCCACACGCATCTCTTCCCCCGTTTTGCCAACCACCCACTTGTTGCACTCTCAACTTACTTTTACTTTTATGTATAACTGTTTTATTCGCTCTGCTCACGTCCTGTTTGCCTTCCAATGCATCCGGGAATGTCGTCAGATAGTGGGAGACAGAAAGAGCGAGAGAGCGGGCGTGAGAGCGAACGGGATGGCCGGATGCTGATTAATCACCGCTTTTTTTGATAAATGGCGCAGTCTATGCCTATGTCAATAATTCATTGCGCTAAAAATATGTGAACACGTATTTTGTACTTTGATTTCATCATTTTTGTTATACTGCTTACCTTTTCTAAGTGTATTGCCATTTCATGCAGCTGCTGCTGGCGCTCTATTCACATTGTCTTTGAGTACGCAAAAGGAATTTGCGAATCATAAAAATAAATAGTTTTTGTTTTTGCTTTGATTGTTTTTATCGCTGCTGCTGCGTCGGCTTCTGCTGCTGTGTCTGCTGCTACTGCAACAGCTGTTACTGCTACACGTTCCAGCAAGCTGTCACACAACACTGTTATGTCAAGCGGTCGTAACGTAACATTAAGCTGCTTGACAGCTCAACTTATACATTTCTGAGCTTATATTTTGTAAAGCTTTTCAGCGTCACCAAAATATAAGACTTGTTTGGTTAGCTCAAATAAATAAATGCTAAAATCTTGTTGTTTTTCTTTAATGTTTAACTTATATTAAAAAAATACATTTTAAAAATCTGTTTACATTTTTTAAAGATTGTCATGTTTTTCTTAACAATGATATTTCATCTGAAATTTAGAATAAACAATGCAAACCCATCCCATTTTAAAAAACGAAACCGATTTCGAGCACATTATTTTTTCTTTCGTTTTTATTTTATTAATTTAAAATACACATTCTTGAATCTTTTATTTTTTACACAATTCGTTCGTTTCGGACTACATTCACATCCTATCAAGGGGTATGGGCTGGCGAAAGGAGATGGCCGTATAAATATATTTAAATATATTTATATAATATTATATAACGAAAATAATCAATTGGAACTTGTTAATATGATGAAACATAAAAAAAAAATGTTCAATTCAACATGTCAAATTCTAACGAGACGCAGACTTTTTTAATTGGTTTTCCTTCCAAAAACTTTCCCTTGCGGGAGCGGGAGACGAGTTTCGATTGAAATCACAATATATATATATATATATATGTATATATATATATAGAATTATAAGCCCTATTGGCACATATAATTTGTATATATGTGAAGTTGATTTATGTTTATATATAAGTTATATATATATATATATGTAAGTTTTGTTATAACGTAATTTTTAACGCATTTGGCGAGAACTTGCTCCATCAAATGTGACGAATAACGAAGAGAAAAAAAGCATTCTGCTTTTCCTATATTTTTCAGCCGATGATTTCAATGTCAAAATCCTAGTATTCTTCTTTTTTTTAGGTTTTCTTTGTTAATGCATATATAATGGAGCTGAAGGCTGCTCTAGCTGCAGGAGCTGCTTTTTTAGGTTGCGGTTGGTGGTGCAGTGGCCAGCTCCCGATAGGCATCCTGGAGCGCCTGCTGCTGCTCGGGACTCAAGGTGCTCGCGCAGGCCTGCATCACATCCGGATTGGATTCAATTTGCTTGACAATGGTTAACATGCGGGTGCCCGATGGACTCTGCGCCTCGAGCACCTTGGTGCAGAAGGTGTCCGCAATTATCGATACGATGCGTGGCAGATTACAATTGTTGGCGCCCAAAATCACTGGATGATTGGCCTCAATCAGATCGCACAGATAGCCATAGATGTGGGCGGCTTCCTCGGGATCTTCGGATATGGGCAGGCTGGCGAACCAAACGCCAATCAGCTCATCCAAATTGGTCAATGCGCTCTTGTTGTATTTGAGTATCTTGGCAAATGCCGATATCACATTCTCCGTCGCATTTATGTTTTCCACATCGCGTGCCCGCGGATCGTTGATGACCTGCACCAGCAGTGGAATGATCTGGGCGCATGTATGCGCAAACTGATCGCCAGCAAATTGGCCCAAAACACCGCAGCCATACGCAGCCGCCTGGCGCACATCCGGCGACTTATCCACCACATACTGCAGCAGAGCAGGCGTAAAAATATGCTGATACGGCGTACAAGCAGGTCCACAGAATTCTACAAAATAATAGATTCGATTTGATTAGGAAATTGGAGTTTGGATTCAGTTCTCAATTGCACAAATTACCAATAAGATCATCGAAAACACAAATGCCCCACTGGCGATCGGCGAACGGACGATTGGGATCGAGAAGCTTGACAAAGTGCGGTGCCACCTGGTCGAAGGCGGGCAAAAACTGCTCCTTGCTGGTTAGGAAGAGGGCGTGTATGATGTCCACCACCTTGGATAGTATATAGATGTCGGTGTCATCCTGTTCGGCCAGCTCCTCCTCAACGCCATCATCGTAATCCTCCTCGGTGCGGGCAGCCAGACGCTTATCGGCACGCTCGAAATGCTCCAGGACATACTTATTGATTATCTCCAGCACCAGTTTCATGGACTCCTCGTTAAGGCAGTTGGGGCCAAGGGTCTCAATGCATTTCGCCAGCGAATTGAGCAACTCGGATTGCACATCCGGCTCCGGTTCGGTATTGATCACCTTAATCAGTTCAGGACAAATGTACAGCCACATGCCAACCAAATAGTTTGGTCCCTTGATCTTGGCGCAGTCCAGCAAATACGGTAACGATTCGGCTGCCGCCGATCGAACGCCATCGTGGAAATAAAACTTGAGCAAGGGCAGCATGAGGCGGACCACCTCCTCGGCGTGCTCGGCGAAGCCCTCCTTCAGTTCGCGTGCATAGCAGACGAGCATCTCGCAGGCGGATGCCTTGTCCTCCATGCCGGCGGTGCGTATGGCAAAGTTCTGCTGTTCACCGAGGGTGATGAACGACCATTCGACATCGCCCTCGAGATCCTCGACCTCGTCGTTGTCGAGCAGCGCCACTTCCGGTTTCATGGCAGCGGTGCGCATCACCGGACCCATAACCAACGGCAAATACTGCTCGAATTGCTTGCCCAAAATCTTGCACATGCGCGCCCATGCGGTAATCAGATACGATGTCTGCGGATCATCATCGGGCAGTTCACCCTCGGTGTGGGTCTTCAGCAGCATGTCCATCACCTCGCCGGCATCGCCAATGAACTTCTCGCGACCGACAGCGAGACCGATGAGGCTAACACACTCGATGGTCTTGCCGCGCAGCATGCGCAACTCCTCCGAATTGGCATTCTGGATGATGAACTTGAGGCAGGGCATCAGGCGATCGTAGTAAGCGACAAATTCCTGTTCGCACGTATCCGCCACAGAGGCAATGGTGGTCACCACCTGCTCCAGCACCAGTTTGTTGCCCTTCTCGACAAGCTCGGTGAACTTCGAGTTGAGAATGTTCTCCAGTTTGCCCATGATTGCGTCCAAATAGCGTGTCAATATATGTTTGGGGCAATCCTCGCTGAAGTTAACCAAAGCGGCACCGGCATGCGCCTGCACGCGCGGATTCTGCTCATCGTCCAGCAGCAGCAGCAGGCCGGGCACAACCTGTGTTCATATAGAGTCGAATACAATTTGAGTCAGTGGGAAAGCAATTACAGAAATTACAGGGTATCTGCGTACCTGTTCGTGGAACTTCTTCTCAAAGGTCGGTGCAAAATCGGTGGACATTTGGCCGATGGCATTGCAGGCGGCGTATCGCACACGGGGATTGGGATCGCGCAGATAGTTGAGGACACCAGACATCACCTGATCGAGTATGGCCTCCATTTGCTTGTGGCAACCCTCACCAATCGCTGAGATAGCCATGAGAGCGGCGAACCGATGCTTCCAATCGGTATGATTCAGCATGCCCGGCAAGGCGTTCATCACATGGGGCAACACCATTTTGCCGCCAAGGCCGCAGGCCAAGCGATCCAGCGATGATTCGGCAATCACATTGTTGTCGCTGTGATCATCCTCATTGATGATATCGGCTGTCGCCCAGTTCTCGTCCTCATCCAGATCGGTCATCATTTGCAGCACGAGCGGAATGAGAGCGACAATATATTTCTCGGCACGCTTGCGCACCATCGCTGGTGCATTCTCCGATAGCGAGACCATCACCTCGAGCACCAGATGCCGCCAGCTATCCTCAAAGTCCAGCGAGCTGAACACCTTCATGCACATCTCAAAGATGTACTCGAGCTGTGCTCGCAAGAATTTCGGACAATTCTCGGTCATGTCGATGAGCAGCTTGAGCAAACTTTGATCGTCCTGCGCCTCAATCGTTTCGCCCGTGATGACAAGCATCCGTGGCAACAGATCCCCGAAATGCTTGTATATGGTCACCTCCTTCTCCTTGTCGTGGTACAGAATGAAGGCGCCAATGGCACGGACGGCCTGAACACGCACCTCAGCATCGCCGGTATTCTCCATGCTCTTGGCCAGCATCTGTTTGATCAGATCGATGTATTGCGTCTCCTGGTTGCCAAAGATCGAGGGCACACTGCTGAAGATGCGCAGTGCCGACTCCTGCAGCTGGGGCGTTGGCGAATTGGCGCATTGGAACAGAAACTGTAGGATGTCCGGCCACTGATTGTTGCCATCCTCGTCGATCAGGCTGCGTGCCACCTCGGCGATCACTTCGCATATCTTGCGACGCAGCTGCGGTGTCACATCCTGTTGCACGGCCATCAAAATCTGCTGCAACAGCTGATTCTGCGAGTCCACGGGCAACTGCAAGTCGCAAATACACGCAAATAATTATCAACATTTTCCTCATTTAATACAAGTAGAAATTCATACCCCTTTGTAGAACTCGAGAAATTCAGATGTGAAGAGGCGACGCAGCAGAACTGCGGCCATTTGGCGCGCCTCCTCCGATTGTTGGCCATTGTGAATGTTGCCCAGCAGGTGTGTTACCTTCAGTTCCCGGGAAATCTTGTTGTACGCTTCCTGCAAGCAGAGTTTAGCAGTTTCATCATTTAAACGACAAGTAGAAGATGACACAGGGTGATTCAGGTTATGGATCAAAGTTCTTTCTTGCTTGCTTTGAATTACATTTTTTATTAACATAAAAACTTAAACTTAAATATTAATGAGAATCACATTTAACACTTGTGAAAAAGGCAGCTGGCAGCGCCCCATTTTTAATTATAATTAATATAGCAAATTTATGTTTGTTTACAATAGCGCCAGCTGCTGTGGGTGTGGTGTTGCCACCCTGTTCGTATTTTTTAATGTCTGACGTTAATTTTAGTGCACTTTCAAATAGAATATAAAAGCTTTGCTGATGTCCTTAACACAAATCCTGTTTAGTTTGTGCTGCACAGTGTACGGTTGTTCGTGCCTCTGTTTGTTGGTTACCGCTAACTGAACTAAATATGTTTGTATATAGATCTTTGTAGGTGTGTGTGTGGCCATGTGTGTGTGTGTGCAAGAAAACAACTGCAGTACAAGGCAGAGCGTGGTATATTGGGTGGCGCCAAGGTCAACAGCTGTAATGCGTCCGTGCGACGACTGTCGGCTTTATCGGGCCTGATACCCAATATTCAATATGTCTATGTATATATATTAAATATATACAAACAGATTGCATATCGCATTATGCGTCATCATTAGCAATAATGAAATTATTATCACATGCGCTTTGTTTCCGTTTTGCATGCGTGTAACACAAAATTATGCGTGGCTGTTTGTGAAATCATTTAAGAAAATAAGCGCTTAGCAGCAGCAATAAAAAATTATTCAAATATATATGTACAATAGTTCCATATGAATTGTACAATTTGTCTTTTCGCTTTGTGCGGGGCACACACACAAACACACGCACCCATAAGCAAAAACACACACACACAGGCGCGCTGACATGCGAATGTCGTAACTAAAAGGGAAACGAAAACACGTTTTGTGCGCTCTGAAATAGAATGCACAATGATGTTGATGATGTTGGATGATGATAATGATGATGATGATTCAGGGCGTCTTATTGTATACCAAAAATATTCATATTATTTGCTGCACATACATTTGCAGAAGATTAAGCATTTGACTGCTGGCCGAATTTAAGCGTTATACTATATACAATTTAAACAATTGCGCAGTTGTCTGCCGTGAAATGTGCATTTAATTTTTTTCTTTTGAGGTGGGGGGAGCCGAACTTACCTCAGCCTGTTTTCGCACTTCGTTGTCCACGGACAACAGGGAGCTGAGGAGCTGTTGGAATTGTGCCTGGTCTGCAGCCATATTTCGATTTGCAGTTTTCACACGGTTTAACAACAGTAAATGAAAAACACACAATTTTCACAATCTGCACGCGACGAAGCCGCTTAAAAAAGAGCAGAACAATAGAAAGCAATGCCGGGTTGCCAAAAATTCCAAATTTATTTTTTTTTTAAATTTTTTTTTATAGCGTATGTACTTAAAGTACACGATTGCCTTGACACTTGGATTGCGGCAGCTATACAAATAAGCTGTTTAAGTTAAAGTCCAAGCAAATAGGAAATAAAGAATTTAAATTTGTATTTGGGATATTTCCTAGCAATTTATGTGGCAATACTGGCAACAAAAAGCACGCTTGTCCACGCGCAATTATCGATAATTTTTGGCGCGAAATGTATTTGCCAGAGCAGCAAGCGATATTCTGCTAAATGTTGAAATGAGCATTTTGAAAACAATGCCCGAATTTGTACAAGCCATTATTATTAAAATACATGCATACAATGAATACCTATAGATAGTAGTAGTACTGCTGAAGGAAATGCAATGAAAATTCGAGGCTAGGTAAGTTTTAAGCATAACGCCAGTTTCAATTGTACTGTAATTATGCTCAATATTCTTGTCGAATTGGTATGCTCTATGTTAACTAACAGCAACCAGTGTTGCTCATAATCGTTGTTTACATGTAAGCAAAACAATCAATACAAAAAAACAAACCGAAGTAAAAACGCACAAACAAAAAAAAAGTGAACGACAAAATGAGCACAAGAATTTGCGCTTATAAAGATTGTAATAATTTCTATTTTCGCCAAGATAACAGTGTCTGCCATGACGTCACTTTGTTTGCATTCCCAAAGGACCCGAAACGAGCAGCGCAATGGCGTCTGCTGGGCCAAGTGCATCCCAAAATTGGCACAAAACAATTGTATATGTGCTCCAAGCATTTCGATGCCAAATATCTATCGACAAACAAGAATCGCCGCATTCTGCTCGGCGAAGCGATGCCATTTTCCTTTGCAGCCAGCAAAAGCAATACAATCTTAATCGATGATGAGGATCAGGATCAAGAGCAAGATCAACAAATGACACCCACATCGTCGACAGCCAAGGAAAGCTATTACATCAATCCGAGAGACGATGATGATAATAACCCGACTTGCTCGTCGACACAGCAAAGCTACTACATCAATCTGGATGATGATACGCTGAGCATTGACAAAGTCGTCATGGTCGAGTCAACGAGCACAACACAAGCGATCAAGGAGGACCCAGAGCCGGATCTATTGGAAAAAAGTGAGTGAATAGAATACACCAAAATATTAACTACCTAACTTATTTATTTTTGTACATTTTTAAGTTGAAGTCAGCATTGTGCCGCCAACTTCTAGCAAACGCGCCCGTTCAATCAGCCCGGCTTTAGCGGAGGAGGAGGAGGAGGAGCTGACGGATGATCACTTAATCGATGCCGGCGAGGTATCCATCTTCAAGTTCAAAGGCGAACAATATGTGCAAATGTCCAGGGAATACTATCTGCAGGAGAAACGCCAAATGTTAAATCAGCTACTCCACTATAAACGTATTTTGGCCCAAATCAATAAGGCCATGATGAAGACCTTATAAAACGCATATTTTATTTATATCAAAACAGACAGAGATATTGGTTTTTCTTCAAGGGGTTAGCTGCTGCTCCACGTCGCTGTCCACATCGGGCACATCATCGCTGAGCTCGTCGCATGCTACATCATCGCTGTCCTGGTCCGTCTCCGTGAAACCACCTTGGCGCCGCAATAGTTCGGCCCAGCTGAGGGGCAACTCGCAGAGCGGACAAGTGCCGCCAATGGGTATATACTGGCCGGGTTGATCGCCCAGCAAGTAGCTGGCCAGGCACAGCATGTGGCAGGTCAGCGGGCAGCTGGCACGCAGGCAGCCGAGCAGGCGGCAACGCTCCGCTGGCTCCACCCGCTGCATGCACAGGTGGCACTCCAACGACCGATTGGAGGCAACAGCTTGCTCCGGCTGCTTAGCCGTTATGGCCACCTTGCCACTAACGATGCGCACATGTGGCGGCAGTGGCACAACAAATCCACGCTCACACTCGCTCTCCAGCCAGCGAACAGTGAGCGGCAATCGATGCCACGGCCCAATGCCCAACATCCGATTGACTATACGGAAATTGTAATCGAAGTGCGTTTCTCGCGGCTGTTTGCGTCGCAGCTCCGGATAGCACTTGAGGCGTGTGGAGAGTGCGGGTTGTTGCCACGCCCATTCGAATTGTAGCGCAGCTATATTGTTGGGAAAACCATGGACAATCATCACCATCTGCCAGGGTCCCTTGCGGCTCGTCTTGTGTGCCCCACCAAAATCACAGCCACGATTGTGTTGCCCGATCCGACGCTTGGGATTGACGGTGAAGCCCACATAGCACTTGCCGCGATAGCGTGCGTCCAAGCTCTGGCTGCACAGCAAATAGACGCCATAGAAGCGTCCCTTCTGGGCCAGCACTTCGCCCGAATCGCCTGCAATTTGTTTGGGTTTTTCGTTAGTTAATCAACTACTACAATCGACCAACAATTAAAGGTAGCGATGGGGCAAGAAGTAGACTACAACTATACACACCTAATGCGATACAAACTTCAATTATACAGTCCAACTTGCCTATAGTAAACTGAACTGTATACATATATAATATATAAGGGTTTTCTTGGACTGCACTGCAAGCAACTTTGACTGTAATTTAAAAACAGCGACAGGCAAAGTAAAAAGCAGCCTCCGACAAAAATCAGACATTCCTAAAGAGATGTATACCCCTCAATTATACAGTGAATCTTGCATATAATAAACTAAACTAAATATATATATAACAATAATAAAATATATACGGTTTTTGGAACTTCCCTATAAGGAACTTCGACTGTATAACTGTCGCTCATCCTTAAACTCTAAATCATGGTGTACCTATATATATATATATACATATGTATATATGTTTGTTTGGTATATATATATATATAGTAAATATGTTACACCTTGCTCCAAAGAGTCTCCATTTCTTCCACTTCACTTTACGCTAATTCTAATTTATTTTGCTCTTCTTTTTGTGTGTAAATAGCCGTTTGCTAATTTAAATCTAGTTTCATAGTTCCGCTGGCAGCCAGGCCATTCATTTGTTGTTGTTGCTGCTGCTGTTGTTGTTGTTGCTGTTGTGGTTGTTGTTGCTGCTGTTGTTGCTGCTGCTGCTGTTGTTGCTGTATCACTGACGAAACCTGAGTTGCAGCTTGAGCTGGCTCCCTGGACGCCAATGGCTGCTGCTGCTGCTGCTGTTGGCTGTTGCTCTGTGAGGATGCTGGCACTGTTGCCGTTGAGCTGTTGCCGCTGCCGCTGCTGCTGCCATTCTGCAGCGTTGCCTGCTGCTGCGGATTGGTGGCCTCAGTGCCTGCCACTGTTGCAGCTTCGCTTGGCGCTAAAATGTTGCCACCACCATTGCTTTGTTGTTGCTGCTGCTGCTGTTGTTGTTGTTGCTGTGGTTGTGTAAGTTGCTGTTGCTGCTGCGTTTGTTGTTGTTGCTGCTGCTGCTGCTGTTGTTGTTGTGTCGTTGCTGCTGCGGCTGCTGCAGCTGCAGCTGCATTCTCCTGCACCGAATTGATCAGTTTGATGCGCTTGCGTGTGTAATGCTGCCACTGGAGTATGGCCTGATCGTCGATGAACTTGCAGCACTGATTGTTCACAATCTCGCGGCGAAAGTGCTCGTATTGCAGCAGATCGAGAAAATATAGGCACATCGGATACATTAAATACTTGGCATAGTCCGGCTCCTTCCAGTACTGCAGATACTTGAGGTAGTTGATAAACGATGGATCCTTAAAGTAGCCACGCTGAGCCAGAACTGCAACAATTCAAAATATACATAAGTGTCTATATATATATATATATATATATATATATATATATATATATATATATATATATATATATATGAGCCGACTTACAGTTGAGATAGTTTGGATTGGAAAGGCATTGCACAAACTCCAGTTCGATTTGCCAGCGTCTTTTTTGTTGCTCCTCCGATTCGATGGCCGCTAAACGGAAACGGGACCGGAATTAATTAATTAATGTTTGTGCATTTTGTTGCTGTTTCATGGAATTAAGTAAATCGTGTTTATTATTATTGCACAATATGCCACTACGAGAATTGATTGATGAACTAAAAGCATGTACAGATATTAAACAATATTACAATTATAATCAAAGTGAAATGCATAATAAAGGTGTTTTATTTACTTTTTTTTTTCATTTTGTTGTTTTTTTTTTTTGGGTTTACTTACTCTTACCCTTTCCGTACATTTTGGCCATTTTTCTAGCTGTTGTGGAAAGGGTTTCGCTGGCTTTGCGTTTTTTCAGTTTGTTTGTTTGGCTAATTCTTCAGGTGTTTTCTTGATGTTTTTGTTGTGGTTGTTGTATTTGTTGTTGTTGTTGTGCTTGGGTGTGATTTCTCGTGTGTGCTTCAAAATTGTACATAACACAAAAATCATAAATTACACATAATAAAAATGTATACAACTCGCTGCTAGCTGCGTGTTTGTGTCTGTGTCTGTGTCAGTGGCTGTGTGTGCGTGAGAGAGATAATTGAAAAGGATATCAAAAAGCGCATACAAACACAAAAAACGGAACAGAACGGCACTTAAAACGTAAATCAACTATGAATCTTTATGTCGCTCCTTTATTTTGTTGGGTGATATTCTTGTTGTGGTAAGCAAATTAATTAAATTTAATTGTTATTTTCAGCTACAAACCGTAAGTGTTCATGTCAGCGTGACCGAATCTCAAAAGCAACAAAATACTCTTATCCACAGTGATTTATACCAAAAAATATACTGACAAAAAACTACAGTTGTCATTTTTAAAATTGCAACCAATCACGTTTGTGACAATTAGTCATTATAATAATTTAATTAATTCATGTAATAATTACATTTCGTGAGTGCTTTCATTTATTTGAATAGCAACTCAGCTATTTTTTTACTCACTTAACGAAAGACTGAGTGCGCCTCCCTAACAAAGTTAAATTGTTATCGGTCTTAGACACTGGCAGAAAAATATTTAAATTTAATGTGGCGAGTATAGGACTTGAATAGAAATGATATGCAGTATTTTTCAATATTTCTTTTGTTTACTATTATTATGACTACAGTTCATGTTTCGAAATCGCAGTCCGATAATATTAATATTGTCAAAATAATATAATGAAAACTCGCTAAACTGTTATACGCCGAATTAACAACAGTGAATGATAATTGGAGTGCGGTTTCTCTTGTTGCTGCTCAGTGTTGGTGCTCAGAGCGTACTCAGTTGCTCGCTTTCTCGTCTTTCGCTCTCTCGTCGCTCGCTGAATTTCAATTTTGTTTTGCTGCTCATTCGTGTTCTGGCATTTGAGGCGTACGGACGTCGTGGTCGGTTTCGCGGACGCTTGTTTGTTTGTTGCTGCGAAAATATCGTTTTACAAAATAGTTGAACAAATATATGCATACGCGTACATACAAGTGTATATATATGTATTTTAAGAAAATCGAAATCATAATAGAAAATACAAATCAAAAGCAAAAGCAAATATATAAGTGAGTAGATTCCAAGAAATCACAAGTGCGTATGCCGCCGACACATGTACATAAATTATATACATACATACATAGTAATGTGTGCGTATGTGTGTGTGTGTTTTTGAGTGAGTGAGTGAGTAAGTGAATGTGTGTGTGTGTTGTGTATGTGTGTACGAGTGAGTGAGTGAGGTGTAAAATAAAATTCACAAAGCGGGTAAATAAATGAATTAAATTCTATATACATAAAAAAGTGTGCAGAGAGAATTTTGTGAAGTTTTGCGGCGCAAAATGAAAGCCCGCGAATAAAACAAGTCAAAAATTGAATTAGGGCTGCATCTAGGAAAGTGCGTCGTTTTATTTTGAAATCGATACCAAAATAAAAATACACAAAAAGTGGGCCTCGTTCCACATACATACATACAAATAAACATACGAATCTTCTCATACATACATATGTATTATTCAACACACACACATATACATATCTATGTGTATGCGTGTGAGTGTGTGTGTGCGTTTATTTGCGGGCGTGTACAAAGTGCAACATAAACAAACGAAAATGGTTAACAAGAATGCAAAAAGGTAAATACATTGCATGTGTGTATGTGTAAATGTCTATGTCGGTTATGTCTCTCTCTCTCTCTTTCTCTTCGTGCGTGTGTGTGTATGTGTATATACATGCAAACATACTTATAAAATTACTACGCAGCAGAAATTTATGCGATACCGTTGTTGTTGTTGTTGTTCCATATCTATCATATCTTCTGTTTCGTCTTTGTCGCCGCCGACGTCGTCTCGTTTTGTGAATGAGCAGCGCAGCAGCGTTGTCTAGTGTGCGTGTGTGTGTGTGTGTGTGAGTAAAATAGCAAAACAAAAACCTCGTTCCGGCATCTCTTGCATAGTTGGCTTGCTCTCTTTCTCTCTCCCGCTCTCAGCGCGCTCGTGTCGTTTGTTGTGCTCTTTGCTGGCGCTCCATCCCGCTCTCTCAGCAATAAAAGCAAAAGTGTGAAGGAAGCGCGAAAGCCACAACAACAACAACATCAGTCGTTAAAATTAAGAACAAGACAATTGCACAGAAACTAAAACTAAACCGTATGCTACTAGTGTGCTTGTGGGGGAGGGGTGAGGTTGGGTTGCCTGCTAATTAAAAAGCGTAGCAGTAATTGGTATACCGCTGTGCGCTCATTCGCTCATCTAACGTTGCCACTTGCTGTGAGTTTTTCTATAACATTTACTGCAATACATATGTGTGTATGTTTGTATATATAGAGAAATACCATAAAAATGCCGTTGTATTAATCATAATATATTTTTGACGGCAGCAGCGTAAGGAATGTTGCCGAAAAGCTTAACATGCGTATATTCATTCTCTCTTTCTATCGCTCTCTGTGTGTGTGTTTTTATGCTTGTGTTCTTGCATGTGTGTTTGTGCGTTCGCTTTCTGTGTAATTTATTTATTTTTAAATCGAGTTTGTCTGTATGTGCGTGTGTGTGTGTGTGACAAAAATAAGTTGCCGCAAAAACAACAAAATTGTTGAAAAACAACAGGGACCAGCCAACTTTTGTATATAGCAAAACCGGAAATTGTTTATGCGACGGTGGCAGCGACGTCAACGTCAACCGATCGCTATTTTTCATGACGTATGTATGACGACACACACACACATACATGTACATATGTATAAACACACATGACATATAAGGTGGCAACTCATTGGAAATTTTGGCGCATAATTTGGCCACACTAATTAGCAGTACAAAGAGCAACAACAATAACAACAGCAACAACAACAACACTGAAAAACTTTGACCACATGTCTAAACGATGGCACGCGTGTGCAAGCAGCACAACAACAACACGAAAAAAAGAAGAGCAAAAAAAAGAGAGCGAAGTGAGCTGATGACCATGTGTCTGTGTGCGTGAATATGTTTGTGTTAGTTGAGCGAGACAAACTGGCAGGTGTCATTGACCTTTTCGACTGTGACGGTAAAAGCACATTGTTTTTATTGTTGTTGCTTTCCGCTGCTGTTATTTGCATTTTTTTTTTCGCTGCGCTTGCTGATGTTGTTATTGTGGTTGTTGGTATTTTGCTGAACACACTGTGGTTGCTTGTCCTTGAACTTAGGCGCGTTTTCTAATACACATATTTAAGTTCCAAAGCTCACACATACACACACACACACACATGTACGCATCAGTTGGCTTTCTTTTGTGTTATGCTTTTGCTGACAGTTCTCTTGTGAATTCGCGCACAAAACGCACACACCAAAAATGGTATCATTTACGCAATTTGGTTGCTGTGGTTGTTGGTGTTGCGCTGGTGCTAAAAGCTTTGCTAATTTCATTGTTCGTTGATTTGGTTGCTGTTATGTTGACAAACGTCAATGTGTGTGTGTGTGTTTGTGTGTGTGAAGAGCAGCTTGTTCTTTTTATAATAGTGGAATTGGGGTCAAAGCTGCGCTGCCAGGGCTTCAGAGAAGTGGGGGAAGGTACGTGTGTGGGTCAAGTCCTCAGAATAGTGCTATAGTACATATATATGTATATATATATATATACCCCACACATGACTCCTTTTCGAGAGAGAGAGAAAGAAAAATGCAAACATTCAGTTATCTATTAATTTTTTTTTATATTTGGGAGATTTGGGAAACCCCCGAAAAATATACTTCGATTTACCTTTATAAATTGTAAAATTTCAATAATAAAATATATATATATATGTAGTGGAGATGACGAATATTCATTGTTGTTTTTCAGAAATGGACTTTTGTATATTTATATATATATATTATAATAGATTTGTCTACCATGTCAAAATAGAGATCATCAAAAGTCCATTTCTGAAAAACAACAATGAATATTCGTCATCTCCACTGTGGCCAATTAGGTTAAAAATGAGTGAATTACCTCATTGATCAAACTATGACTAATGGAATTTGGCTGACTGCTGATCAGAATACATATGTATGTAAATAAATAAATATGTAAAAATAGAGCTCAACTCTAGCAGTATATATATATATAAATATATATATAGTATAGTAATTCTATATATCAGCAGTTCGTATATAACAATAATTTTTGTTTGTGCATACTTAATTAATTGATGAGCATATAACATAAAAAATAATTAGTCACATGATCTAATAAAGCCCATGTTCTATGCATCTGTCTTTTGACTTGACTATGTATATATTCAAAATCAAAGAGTATTTAATCGTTGACTAGCCAAAGATATCCATTTCCCTGTAGTTATTATTACATCATTGTTATTCGATGTGATACGTAATACTTGTATTAATATAAATAGTTTACTTGATTTTTGAATTTGACCGAAAGAAGTTGTTTGTATTATTATATAAGCATAATTTGTGTGTGAACTTTTTTGCCTAATTGCTTTAAGGTGTCAACTAAGGATTAAAATGATAACAAAATTGATTACTCTCTCTCCACCTAAAGTTAAATACTGAGCTTTTCACATTATCAAAATCTGTCCGTATGCATTTATGTATGTATGTGTGTTTGAGTGTATAGCTTGTTGTCTGGCTACTAAAAAAAGCAGAATTGATCACAAGATGTGCGTGGTTTCGTTCCGCCCACCTTCCACCCTCCCCATTGGCTACTGTTTAGCATCCGTCGTTAAGCACCACGTCGTCGCTCTCGCTCCCTCGCCTATTCCCACCCAGCCAACCACCCACCTTGCGCTCTGTTATTCTCGCAGAGTTGCCAGCTTTTTAAAATCATAATTGTTGATTACGATTGTTGTGTGCTGTTCTACTGCTGCTGCACACACGCATTTCGTGCTTATGCGTAGGCGTCAGGCGGTGACACACACACACACACAGCAGACACACACACACACACACACACACACATCACAGTGTGTGCAGCGATTGTAGTTGTGTCTGTGTGTGTTTATTTACTTGGACTCTAGACTCTACTTTGATAAGTGGTGGCCTGTGTTGGTTTGTGTTGATGCGAATGAATCACATGTAAAAATCGCGAAAAACAATTATAATAAGAATAAACAAACAGCACCTATAATAAAAATCAGCAAAACAGCTTTCATATGTATTTACTTAATGTTGACCCTCCCCGCCCCAACATGCGTACATTTGCAATAATATATCCTGTGACAAGGTGCCGTTATAAATTAAACGATGCAATAACAAAAACAACAACAACCACAGGGCGTCGTTTCCAGTTTATAATTTTTGTTGTTGGTTGCTGCTGCTGC